GAAATAGGCAATGTTGATCAACTTGACGAAGGCAGAATGATGTACACAAATCCAGTCATGTAATAAAGCCCCGCGCACAACACAACAACCAGCCTTTATATAGCTTTTACACAGTTCTCGAGCATTCTAGCAATGCTAGGCTGTATCATTATCCACACAGAACTTTATAGAAATCCGTCGAAATCGGTGGAAAACTCCAAGGCATGATGAAAACCGTAAATAAACAAGATTGCCAAGGGAGGCAACTCTGAAGCGCCATCAAAAAGGCGTACCGCAAAAAATGGTATTGCCATTGAACATATATGATGCGAGATGCGAGCCAAAACCCTCACTCAAAACTTCAAACATTGTGACCCATAATAACTATCACTTAATCAATGATAATACAAATGACAAAAAAAACCACTCTCATAACATTAGTTTTTAATCAAATTAATATTAATTAAAAATATCTATATGCTCCATAAAATCCTTGAATTATTTTATTAAATTTATATATTCTTTGATCTTCTTTCACACATTCTGAATAAATTCATATCCATTTTCTGTTTGAATTGATTAATGAATGTATACACTTTATAGACAACCATGCATAGTGCCTCCCGGTTTAGTTGAGCAATGCATTTGAATCACAGCCGTTAAAACGGACATGCTTAAGACAAATAATTCATAAAAAAGAACTGTTATCAGGTACACATCACACAGGGCGTAGCCAATTTAAACCGTCAACACAAAAACGTTACATGTTCCAAATCCCGGTACTGCCAATTCATCTTGATCACAACCCGTGAAGGTCAGGGTTAGAATATTGATCTTCAGTAACCCATGCTTGTCGTAAGAGGCGACTAACGAGATCGGGTGTTCAGGCTCGCTGACTTGGTTGACACATGTCATCGGTTCCCAATTGCGCAGATCAATGCTGGACCAGACTCGATTATTTACAATCCGCCGCCAATTAGCTGGAATATTGCTGAGTGCGGCGTAAAACTAAACTCACACACTCACTCGATTCACTCATCTTGATCACGCAAAATTGTGCTGTGATTGGTGGATGGCGGGTGCAACTAATTTTCAGTGATTCGTTCATTTAAGTTTCATTCTGCTGCAATGACATTCTATATATAAGCAGTTTCAGTAACGGGCAACCAATCCAGACCCATAGGAAGTGTTCATCACGCGTAGCACTTGGCACACTAGTAGCTTTGTTCATTCATTGAAGACATTATTTCACATCTTCATGATATGTGCCGAACACGGAATTGATGAGAGTAGGTCCGATCAAGGATGTTGATCTTTACAAGAAATAGAACAGGAGCGTTCTTCACGCCAGGCACGAGGGGCATTTTGCCGGCTTAGCTTTGTTCACCGACAGATAGACCAAGGACTGTATTAATCTTAGCGATATATTGGTTAGGGGACTTGTTCAACTTAATGATGCATAACAGTGTTTTTCCTCTGTGACGATAGATTGGTAATGAGCGTAGCTGCCCTTGCGAGACAGAGCTGCCCTTGCGATACAGTGATCTTTCCGTGGAATGAGATTTTGAAATGAAGATCATACAATATATGTGAAGACACTGAGTTCAGAAGGTTTGTAATCCGTTTACACTTCTTGTATTGTAGCATTGAACAAATACATCTTCACCATAGAGATACGGCGGAATAAATGGCTGGTGCCTATGGACATTCTGTTGGTCTGATAGCTGTTCTCTGAATTACCTCTTTTGCCGGCTGAAGAGTCATATAATTATCAAATGAATTTATGTAAACATACCGGTGCTTATTGTTCCATTATGTCAAAAACAGCATAGCATTCACACTCAAGCGTGAAACTCGATGCTCCACAACCACAACTGTGTGATTATGTTAGTACTATTAAATAAAGGACAAACCTGTAAGACTTTGTGTGGGCGAGGATATGAAATGAATATGGAATTGGTAGTCTTTTAAGACATTCAGATGTCATGATTCGTAGATGTTTTGGCACGTAATCAGTGGAAGTAGAACAAGTAGCCATCACCGACAGTGCTTTAAATCCCATTCAGAGACCCGTTCCTTAAAAAGTGATCTTAGCCCTTTGATGATGTATACTAGCCACATAAAGAAACTGTGCACACGGAAAATTCCTTCAGAATTGGAATACAACACAGAAAAGACGACATGATGCAGACACTTTATTAGCTGAAGTATCGGGCCTCAACAACATGTCAAAAGAACATGAACAATATCCGTAACGATGACGTCAGATGTTCAAAATTGAGTCGGGGGTCACACGTCGAAGTCACAAAGTCAATAACGGGTATGACCATCATGCGCGTGAAGCACAGCCGTCTGGAACCTGTGTCTGATATCAGTCACCCGAATCCATCTGATCTGTCTTGGCGTCGTTACTCTGGGACGCCCAGAACGTGGGTGGTCGGCGACGTCATTACTGTTTCCCTAACGCTTGACCAATGCAGATATCGTGTTACGATGGCATTGGCAAAACCACCTGTTGTTGGCTCATGCCTGCTCGAACCATTCCAATGGCTTCATGACGTTGAGCACATGTTAATCTTGGCATGATGTGCATGTGACTTCTCATGTGAATTTGTGAACGTTTGAATGACCAAAGATCAAGCTTTCGACAGTGACAGCAATTTCTGAGTTTCACATGTCGTGTGCAGCTGCACAGGCTGCACGTGCAGTAACACATTGCAAGTCCATAGGCCACTATCAATGACTTCACGTCGCCTGGCACCTGCATGAGCGTTTGATTGTCTCCAATACTTGCTATGTTCACACCTTTATTTATGCATAAAGACGCTGTGTGCCTATCTTTATATTTTCTGTGTGCACAGTTTCTTTATGTGGCCAGTATATAAGTATAGGAGCTACGAGCAGCTTTGCACTAAGAGTAACAGTGTATGTAGCCACATGGTGAAACATATAATACCTTGTAATTAACACTTACGAATATTCATATCAATTTGCAGATGTTAAACAGCTGAATATATTTCATCGTGTCATTAATAAGTTAACCGTTTCTGAAGATTTTGCTCGTCATTACGAGGCACATTTGCTTTTGTAAGAATCGTTACATTAAATTCATGCAGAAGCTACGGGAAAGTTTTAATTAGGTTAAAGTTTAGGAATAGGCATCTTTCGGGATAAAAACGCGTGAAACTTAATGAACATACACTTATATGTTACATTTCACAGCATATACTTATTAACCAAGATAATGATAGGCTGCTTGGCAACGTGCCTGCAAAACGTTCAATTGATCTTTCACAGACACTGAAAAATCTTCGTTATTCTAACACAATATGTACGCAAGAGAGGCAGAAAAACACTTTTTATGATAAATGGAGCGAGAATCAAGAAGAATGCCAATCAACGTGAAACATATACTTAAATAATGACGGACAAACATTTAAAAGATACCATTTGTGAACGAAATGGATTCTCTTTCATTTTGTTGAATAGGATCCTTAACTACAGTCTGAAGGTGAAAAAAAGAAACAAAAATTTTGACATCGTCCAATCAAAAACATTGGTTCTTTTAGTGTATTTATTTTTCCTGGGGTGGCGGATGTCGGGATTATTTGTATGAATATTATTGTGTGCAACTATGATGTATCGTCAAAAGCCATTTAACACCCTTCGATTTGTTTTGAATTACAATCTTTGAAACCAGCTTTGATAGTCAGGTGTTCTCCCAGCAGCTTACTTGACAAAATGTCATCCGAATGGAAAATGGAAATCACAACGCGGATAACAGGCTGAAATGTCAAGACAATTTCCGGAAAGTGCAACTATCGGGCTGTACACAGTTTTTGAACTTCCACCTCTGTCCATTAATGGTGAGGGTCATATGTTGCCCGAGACATTGTTTACCACGTAGAGTCCCGGGTTCTAGTTCAGTAAAGGAGCACACGACATGTCATTGACACTCATCTATTTGTGCAAGACTTGATTGAGGTATTCGAAAACAACGATATCGCTTGGTTTGGAAAGGGGTTGGTTTCACAAATACATTTAATACATGCAACGAATCAAGTACAGTTACAAAACGTGCCTCTCGTATGTATTTCGACAATAATTACAAAAGAGTGGTTTGGTTTTAAGCATAATTCCAAAAGATGAACTTATCCGAATATACTATTTTTAGACAGGCTCCTAGCGGTTTCATTCAAAAAATAAAAATGATAAAATTTACAAACAAACACCTTGCTGCCTTAGCAACTGCTTCATGGTCAATGATATAGATTCATACCACCGGGCATTACTTTATTCAGAATTGTTCTCAACTGGTATTGTTCGCATGATGAGAAATGAAGTGACAAATAAATGACGATACTCTAGGCCATTAAAAAGAGAAATATCTCTTTATAATTTTCTCCAAACTACTCTATGTTTCGTTGTTTTATTAGAATATCCAGTGTAATAAATAGGGGTTGCATGAGATCGTATTGAAATGACATTGGATAAACGATATATGCAGTGTGCGAGACGGGTATGTTCAAGTATAGATCATGTGCTGATAACTATTCAAAGTCGAGCTTACGACACATATTGGAGTCCATTACATCATATTCCGACATCTTGTTTACACACATTTGCTCATGATCAAGGCAAACAGAACACAGTTATTGAACTTTGTGCCCTTGAATAGTGAGGACAACTCTGCCCGTTTCCTGTTGACAACACACATTATCTGTTTGGCTGTTACTGTTAGACACTACTGTAAGAAAGTCATTATTATGTGTTGCCGTCCTTGGATGAACAGAGTGTTGCTTAAAGATATATCTATATTTTCAATAAGATAACTCACGTAAGTCTAGTGGTATTAATGCAACTGATTACGCCTCGTCTCGTGCCGAGTTACATAAAGACGCACAGAACGAAATAGTTTCAGACCTTTGTACGACCCCTGTGACTGAGCAATACAACACTTATATTCACAGTCAGTCGGAATTGCACCACACAAAGTGATTTCGCTGGAGACCTTACGATTGAGCTGGGCAGTATTTTGTCAACTTAGTTACTTAGCAAGAGCAATCCCTTCAACATGGAGATCTTGGGCCTCGTGGACGTCCCGTTGTACGTCCTTCTAGCCGTGGCGGTGGCTGTGCTGATCTATATGTGAGTAGACAATACATGTATTACTTTAGGTGGACCACTTAGCTCAAGACGAATGTGACAGGTTGCATGTGCGGTAATCAATACAGACTGAATAAAGCAGGAATAAAGGTTCACTAGCCTTTACTCTCCTTAGACACAGAGATAATGTGCGTAGAGAAATTAGCATCCACACTGATTAAATAGAACGTAGTACTAATACACTGCCTTAGAAATGCGTGTCATTTATCAGTTTGTCTAAAGTGTGAATGTACCTTGAATTGTAGACACAATCGTTACGAGTCTCCCTGAAGACTCGCACAATACAATTGTAACTTGCTCGTGTGGAAATTGTATATTTGTATTGTTTTTGCCTCAGTTACATGAGTCCAATATTCTCAAAATCACCTATGTATTCTTTTAAGAGTGTAGAAATGCATGCCATTTTAACAGTTCGTCTAAAGTGTTAGTGTGCCTTGATTCGTGGATGCAATCGTAAAGTGCCCATGTCGACATCACCAATGTTTCCAAACACTAAAGAACCTTTCACAGCTGGGCCTCGTGAAATACAATGATGCATATTTTTCAGACATGGAACGTGGAACTTCAATTACTTCAAGAAACAGGGCATCGGTGGACCAACACCCTATCCTGTTTTCGGAAGTGCCTTCTCATCTGTAGGTTCAGTTAAATATTTGTATAACATCGGCGATCAGATTGATTTATGATCATATATGTATATATATATACATGTACATATATATATGAATTTTTTAAAATGAATGACCAGACGTTAAGAAAGGAAGAAGGACGATATTTGTGTGTATAATATAAAAAGAAGCAAAACAGAAGATTTCACGTTTGGGAAATCATACTTGTACGTCAAGTCCGGTGTATATGAATGTCATGGCTTTAACAAGGCTGTGCCTGTATGTGCAAAGTGCAAAATTCATAAGTTCTTTAAAATTGATAAAATATGTTTACTCGTAGACCGAGTGACATTATGGACAGTAGTTACATGTTCATATTTATTCCACAATCCTCATTGTTATGGTGAACATGTATTTCAGTCCTGAAAACAACATCCGTTCCGACATTCATCTTACTGACATTTAACTGTTGACTTTAGACGGGCATCAATATATTATTTACGTGTCACAAGTCAGTAAAATAAGAAATATACATACATTCATGGATAAAGAAAAAACTGAACTAATTGTAATGTTAAAGTAATTTTAACAACATTAGTATCAATAAGTGTTGCTGTTATGAAATGTAAAATATACTGAACCACAAAAGAAATGTCGCTTTGCAAAACCAAATGCAAAATTTTGTTCTTTCAAAGGTGGTGTTTTTATAATGTTTGTATCGTTTTCTTAACCTGCTTTTCAATCCAAATTGACAGTTATTACCGAAAAAGGCAGACATGGTAAAAGGTTCCGTATGACATTCGTGAAAATGAAAATGCACGTGCATGTCATGACAACCCTACCAATGAAAGCGGGTCCCAAGCTCGCCTGAAATCATTTTTGTTTTGACACAACCATCATGCCACGTCTTACGAGAGATCAGAAGGAACGAAGTCGTGGGACAATTGCAAGTTGTCCAGACTGCACGGAGGGTAGCCAACCATTTTAATGTTTATGTTAGGACAGCAGGAGTGGTATCAGGTCACTAAGAGCATTCAAGACCGTCAACGCAGTTGGCGACCTTCACTAACATCACAACGTCAAGAATGACGGGCTGTGCGCATCAATCTGGAGCACTGCTTCCCCAGAGCGACGGAAACAGCACGCCAGACCACTTCTGACTCAAAACAGACTCCACCAAATATTGTGTTTCGACAGTCGATGGCAGAGTGAGAGTATGGCGAGGGCGTGGTGAAATGTTTTCCAATGCGTCTATTGAGTTGAAAGAGACTGGGGTGGTCCAAGCATCATAGTGTGGGGTGCAATCGGTCTGAACAGTTAGTTGACACCGTGGTGTTCTAGAATCTTGGTCCAGGATGAGGAAATGACATGACGGCTGCTCGCTATATTGATAAAATCATAAAACCCCACGTTGTACCTCATTTTGGACGTTACAGAAATCACATCTTCCAGCAAGACAACAGTCGTGCCCACACTGCCACAGCAACATTGGACTTCCTAAGACAACATGGCATCCAAACCTTACAATAGCCCGCACTCAGTCCGAATTTAAGTCCAGTAGATCACCTTTGGTACGAAATTTAAAGCAGACTGAATGGCCGCCAACCAAGGCTGACAACTGCGGCTGGACTCGATCAGCCATTTCGCAGAGTATGGACCCAAGTGCCTATGGCCTTCATCGACCGGCTAATTCATTCCATGTACAGACGATGCAACGGTTTCATCGATGCCCATAGCGGCCACACACGATAGTGACTTTGGGGTATCTTAATGGTACCAGTTTTTTGTGATTTGTTTGTGTGAACTCTAAATGTGATTCCAGAAAATGTGTTAACCATAATTGACAAGTTTTAACTCAGTCCTCCTATTTGATTGTTAATTATAGTGAATTAAAGTGTGTGCTTTAAGAAACCCTTATCAGTGCGACATTTCTTTTGCGGTTCAGTATATATTATTTATCCGGACGAGCTGCAGTCTGTGTTGCCATGTTTTAGAAATGACGAAGAATGCAGAAACCTATGTTATCTACTTACAGTCTTTCTTCCACAAATTCAAAGAATGGAACCGAAAGTACGGAAATGTATATGGGTAGGTGCATCTCATACACTTACTCTGGATGATCTGGACACCAGGATCAACACCCTCTGTTCTTGACATTGTATGTATGGCAAACGGGAATAATGCTGGAAGCTACTGGTTTAGTTATGCAGAAACCTTTTTCATCCCATTTGTTTATGAATGAGAAACCCTTGGCGTTGAATCATTGGTTTTAGCGGTCCTTTGGAAGTAATTAAGATGCTAACGACGTAATGCAGACCTCAGATTTACAATGTGGGTAATGCAGACCACAGATTTACAATGTGGGTAATGCAGACCTCAGATTTACAATGTGGGTAACATGGGATCTGGGATACAAACCAACACAACAGTGCCTGTATTCACTCAAGGTCGTTGACACGCCATACTGAGGGATCTCAGAGATCAGGTAATACACAAACGACATATGACTATTATTGTCGTTTACATAGTGTGTTGCCTGTTTATAAACTTGGCATTATGACATTCTAAATTTGTAAGTAATGCTTTAAAAAATATATGCCGGTGAAACGTAACATTTTATCTCACTCACAGTCTTATAATCGTTTTCCAGAATTTGGCCCGTTTCTGTAGCAATGTTACATTTACTAGATAATGTATCTGAAGTTTTATGTCTTGGTCTCGTCTACTTCTGTTATCAGTTACTTGTTCCTGAAGGTAGACACATGTCTTTCCACCATCACTACCAGTATGGATTCTCGGGTGGGATTAGTCTTCATGGAGGAACCTATGATTGTTGCAATGTGACTAAAATGGATCTGATTGTCTGGCTTAGTAGCATCACAGATTATGTGACATCTTGCTCGGGTGTCGTTTCTGGTCGTTGATTCACCTGGTCCATATTTAATTAGTTGCGGCGCGGCATGAAATAACTGTTGCATAACACACCACTCTCTCCCTCGGTCAAGATGTTACTGTCACAAATGTCACATTGTTAAAGTTGAGATTTTTGGAATGGCAAAGAGTTATCCAATATATTTTGAAAAAGCAATGCACTCTGCACCTGATTTCATTTTGAATGTAATATTACGTTTTATCCATGTCTCCAACATACAGACGGTAATAGGCATTTAAAAATAAGCAAGAAAATGGTTTTGGGGGACTTTAACCTTTGTTTAGGCAAGGCTGACTAGAAAACAAAAACCAACTGTTTCACTACTGTTTGGTATCGGTGCCAGACACTAGTCGTAATAAGTTCAAGACACTAAAAATGCAATGTCGCCAGTAAATTTCTATATTTAAATAAGGTGTGATGCAATGCTGTTGCTGGAACTGTCAAAAATTAATGTTATTTCTTGGAGATAAATATATCAAATTTCTTCTAGAAAAGGTTCAACCACAGTGTACCAAATCCATACTCAAATTTTTCTGGATGTTTTCATGTCGCCCTAAACTCGTCTAACCTACGTAAAGTTTTAATGATCACGAGTGACTTCAACATACATCCAGAAATAATTGCATTTTTCATTTCGAAGGGTTAAGAAATAGTCACTGAATATATATTATTAGCGTTAATCTCAACATAACAAATTATATATCTTTAGCATCGCGTTAGAACTGGATTTTGTGAATGTCGCACTTAAGGACCTAACCTCCATAACATGTATATCTTCCTGTAAACATTCATTTAACAAAGACTGAAATTACTCAATAAATAATTGATGAAAGAGGATTTAAAATCTTAAACTGAAATGCGCATGATGACAGGTTTTGTAATTAGATGTCAGTGATGAAAAAAAATCCTAACCTCCATAACTTCCGTGACGATAATCTATATAGCAAAGCGGACATTGTTTCACAGGGTTCCTCACGTGCTTCACGTGCTCTATGGAAACATGATGGATGTTACGTTTGTCTGGTTTTGATAAAACAGACAAATTTAATATATGTTTCAAGTTCAAATTCTAGTGTAACCTCCGTAACGTGTTGCAAGTTACAGCATATATTGCTTTGTAGCTTTTAGAATTACCGTGATATTGCCTTTTCTGAATTATTACATTGATAGTGATGGCATTGTTTCATGTTTATGCTTATATTTGAGAACTTCATGTCAAATTATAACTTCCGTAACAGGGAGACACCTATGTAAATTTGGCATTACTGATCATGCCGTTTGTTTTTCACTTAAGTAAACTGTGGTATTCTTAAAGTTCAAACATGTGAAATCTTGATAAAGTTATTGTTTTCACTGATTATGATGTATGTTTTATATAAACATATTTGGAATGAAATATTTAATTTCCGTGTAAGTTTTTCATCAGATACGAATGTTTTCCCTTAACAGTATCTGATTATATACTAAGCAGCAAAAGAAACGTCAGTTTGGAATTTTCCTTCGCAGAAACGGATAATTGTAAACTCATTTAATGCTTTGTTTGTATATTTTTGACAACATCTCCAACTTTACCTGAGCAAAGACATTCCTTCCCAAACTCAGAATGGAACCCAGGAAATCGGTCTCAAAAACGCAACCTGATCTCGGAGATGGTTTGGTGTTCGCCATGTTTTTCATGCAACTCATGCTGCACGTGCTGTTCACAAGGACCAGCCCCATAAAATGCAACCCCAAACCTGGTTGAAACATTCACATTACAACGTCAGCAGGATGTCCCTGCTCACGACAGCTCAGAGGAACCAGGCGCTAGAATACTTGAAGCTGGCCACACTGCACAAGCCGTTGCCAATCACATCCAGGTCAACGTTCGGACCATCTACAGGCTGCAGCAACGTTTCCGGGCCACCAACAGCAGAAATGATCGTCCCCGTACTGGCAGACCAAGGGTGACCACAAGACGATAAGACCGCCGTGTTGTGCGACATCATGTACAGAATCTCTTCATGCAGGCATCCGAAACGGCACGCCAGACAATGGGAACACACGGAAGACCAATTAGTACTGATACAGTACGCCGACGTCTTAACAGCGGGAAGCTCCTTTGCCGTAGACCGTAACGTGGACCTATACTCACCCCTCGTCATCGGCGTGAACTTCTACAGTTTGCCCTACAACACCAAAACTAGCGATACAGGCAATGGAGAACTGTTCTGTTCACAGATCACAGATCAACTGCAGATGGCAGAACAAGAATATGGCGACGACGTGGCCAGCTTTACTCTGACCAATGTGTTATGGAAAGCGACTCATGGGGGAGGTGCAAGCATCATGGTATGAGGTGGAATAGACCTGAACCAGAGAGTGGGTACTGTGGTGCTCCAGAACCTTGGTCCAGGGAGAGGAGGCGGTATCACAGCGGTGCGCTACCTCGACCAAGCTCTCCGACCCCACGTCATACCACATTTCGCACGTCACCAGAACAACATTTTCCAGCATGATAACGCCCGGGCCCAGACTGCCAGAGCTACACAGGACTTCCTACAGCAGAACGGTGTCCTGATTACAACCCAGTTGAACATCTTTTGGATGAAATTCAGAGGAAACTGAATAATGTCATACCAAGGCCGAACACAGCCGATTTATTGCGCCAGGCCTTTCTCAGAGTGTGGTTTAAGGTGCCAATGGCCTTCATCAATCGATTAGTGCACTCCATGCATAGACGCTGTGCTGCAGTTATAGCCGCTCGTGGTGGTCACACTAGATACTGAAGTCAAGAGTCTGAATGGACTGCAAACGTTCACGTACTTTCTTGGAATGAGTTATTCATTGATGTGTCAAGATATTGTACACAAAAAAATGTTTTTGATCGGCTTGTTATGTCCATTTCTGTAATGATTTGATTACAGTGCCTATCTGATTTTGAATTCGTACTGACGTTTATTTTGCTGCTGAGTATAAAAGCTCGAGGTAAACAAAGTCTATTGTGCTTCAAAAGAATACATATTCCTCTTTAATTTGACAAATACGTAACTGGCTTATCATAAAAGGGAGAGATTAAATCTGAAGTATATAATAATTCTCACCTCCGTAACAGAAGTATAAGAAGGTACATTTGGGGGTGGTGTATCTCGAAAACCTAAAATATCTTGTGAGTGATTTTTTGTTTTGAATAGGTTGGATGTTTGTTTCCAAGAAATAAATGTCATTTTATTAATATTAGATATTTTATTTTTGGTGAATGCGTAAACACAAGTGAGTCAATTAGGCTGGAATGACTGGAATTCATTCATTCTACAACTTTTACTGCATCAACTAAAATAGTGCAGGGCAAAAGTGTACTTTATTACACAACACATGGTGATAGACCGAACTGTATTTCCTTTCTTAGATGGCAGATGTAATACTTTCTAGGGTTAATTACGATTGATCTAAGGCAGAAAGCAAACAGAAAAATTACGGTTTCGGTGAGCTTAATTAACAATCTTCGCCAAGGGCTAACGGACGCGCTGTTCTACTGACGTGTGTGCCCCCTACGCTAAGACGCACGGTACCAGAAAAACAAATGATAAACAGTTTCATAAACTGTTTACGTTCCGGTTAAATATCTTCTCTAAATTATTTTAATACATTTGTGATTATTGTAAACAAAATGGGGCAATATGAACGTCGCATTTCTACTACCAGGGTAGCCTAGTGGTTAAAGCGTTGGCTCGTCACGCCGAAGACCCGGTTCGATTCCCCACATGGGCACAATGTGTTAAGCCCATTTCTGGTGTCCCCCGCCGTGATATTGCTGGAATATTGCTAAAAGCGGCGTAAAACTAAACTCAGTCAGTTAATAACGAGGGGGCAGACGAGAATGGCGTGTTTACGTCATGCAAAAAGTCTACTTTATCGCCTGAAAAAGTACTGTCGGCGCCTTTGATCTTTTAGCAAAGCATCTTAGAATTGATGTTATTAAAATGTAAAGCGTTACCACATGTTTTATCTTTTTTTATTAAGTAAAACAGATAAGAACTATATTCAATTGCGCATATTCAGGAATGTCAAAAGAAGTACAAAGGTTAGTGCTCTGCAAACTTCTTCCGCAACATCTTTATGAAACCGTTTTCGGGTTGAAAGCATAAAAAACAACAAAAGTACGCTATTTAGTCAATTTTATGCAGGTAATGTAATGTCATGAGTGTAGTGTTCTCTATTTCTCATACCGTGTTGTTTCTTGACCTAAGGATATTTATGGGAAGAACGCCAGCCTATGTTATATCGGATCTGGACATTCTGAAGGAGGTGTTTGTCAAGAGCTTCAACACTTTCAGAAACAGGAGGGTAAACAATACTTCCAAGTATCTCACCCATGACATTGTTGCAAAGCAGATTACGTTATTATTGGAAAGGACTAGTACGAAAATTATCTCCCCGAATGCACGTCGTTGTAAAACAGATATTCAAATGCACCATGATGGTGAGAATATTATCACTGAAAGTTACATGCATGCCTTTTATAAACCTTACTGTTCAATATGTTCCAGAAAATCTCACTCGTGCCCTACCCATTAAATATAAGTGTGTTTTTCTTGGACGATGAGTACTGGCGGAGGGTAAGAAGCATCATAAAACCGAGCTTCAGCAGCGGCAAACTGAGGAAGGTGAGACACTGTAGTCCTTACTGTTGGGTAGATATCCCACGTAGAGATTCCGGATTTGAAAACCTTCCCGGCACTCTTTGCTTGTTGTAAGAGGATACGTATTTAATCTTATTTGTCAGACTCTTTGGCTTTGTTTTACTGGATTGACGACTAAACGAACATGTGACAACGAGGAGAATTCTTTGGATATACAACTTCTTATTATTAATATGAGCGACGTTTCGGTGAAGCTACTAACACCGTTATCAAGCAAGTGATGTACAATACTGCAGGCAATACTGCATAACAACAATAATGACATTTATATTGCGCTGTCCACACGCCAGGAAGGTATGCTCAAAACGCATAGCCTCAGACGACGGTATCAGAGGCAGTTGAGTTCTTCACAATGGGTATGAGCTTTTTTAGGAATACTGCTTGAAAAATTGAGTTTTAAGGCTGGATTTCAAAGTCTCCAGAGATGGACTCAACTTTGAGTGATTCGGGCAGAGAGTTCCACAGAGTGGCTGCTGAGACAGAGAAGGGATCTGCAGCCGAAAGTTTTCGGGTTGGTGGCATGCACCCGGATGAGCTGTTTACGAGAGCGCAGAGTTCTTCAAATGCAGTATGGGACAGTCAGATCACTGAGATAGGCAGTAACTGAGCGAGAGTGTTTTCAACACGAATCGCCCAGGAATACGGAGCCAGTGAAGCGAGTTGAGCACTGGTGTTATGTGTGCCTTTATGCTCGTGACCAATCTGACCGCATAGTTCTGAATGTGCTGCGGACGTCTCATCTGTTGATTGGTGATTGCATAGTAATCTATTCGAGAGAATATCAGAGATCTCACAAGGGAGGCAGCTGCGTCTCTCGTCAGGAAATGTCTGACGGCACTGATGTTCCTCAGGTGGATAGCGAGGAGTCAAGGTACACACCATGGTTCTCGTCAGATGGCTGGAAGGTGATGTCTGCTAAATAAATACACTGATGATCCAAAATACACTTCCGTAATCTGGATGGAGGCCCGATTGGAATTTCCTCCGTTTTGTCTGAATTCAGTTTCAGCTTATTCTTTTCCACCCATGTACTGACACCAGCAATGCACTGTTTCCTTGCATGTTTAGCTTCAGATTGACTATCGGGTGTTGGTTTAAAGTTGTTCTGTACTTGCGAGTCACCTGCATTGAAGTGATGAGGTATCTGGTGTTCTTCGAGGTGTTGTATAACGGGTAATAAGCATTGTCCGCAACACTGATCCTTGCGGCACTCCACAGAACAAGATACCTGGAGCAGACATCTCATTCCTAATTAGGACTGCCTGTGACCTGTTTGTGAAGTACGACCCAAACCACTGAAGCACTGTCCCTGAAGGTGTTCTCGAGACGAGCAGTATTATGCTGTGATCTATGGTATGAAAAGCAGATGACAAGTCTACCAATACCAGCATAGCAATAACCACTCTGTCAACAACATGTGTACACTATTCATCACACAGTTCAATGCTTTTTCCTTAATGTTGGCCTATCTGTATGCAGACTGCTACTTGTGAAGTAGATCATTTGAGGTCAGGTCGTACTGTCTCTTTACTATCTTCTCTAGGATTTTGGAGATGAACGATAGGTTGGAGACTGGCCGGTAGTTCTTGAGTAGGTGTGGATCTAAATGTGACTTTTTCAGTTTGACATTGCTTTTTAAAAGTAATCCGGCACAACACCCGTGGATATACTGACATTGATTATGTATGTGGTGGTGGGTAGGAGAACATCCGGCCAGGACCTTCAATATGAACTTGGTGGGTACCGGATCGGCTTGGCCCCCAGGATGGTTTTACGGACTTCATGTTCTGCTACAACCCGGAATGAGCTAAACTTGGTGCCTGTGTAGAGGGGATGAGATTTCTCACAGATTGCCTGCAAGCTTTGAAGATTTGTCTCTGAATCTCCAGCTGGGGGAATTCCTCCACTGGCTTTCTGCTGCAATCCGTATGCTTTTGGCTTCCCTAATCTCTGCCGTGTGCCATTGGGATATTATCCTTGGTCCCGAACTCTGGTCGTGACAGGAGCATGTTTATCAACAACAACTCGCTGACCAAGGTGTTTACATCGTCCGGGGTGGTCGTATCTTCAACGCTTTCGAGAAATCATTTGAAAAAGAGTTTATGTCAGCAGATTTGAAGTGTCGAATATTCACTGTTCCGGCTGCTGATGTGGGCTTATTGAATTGAAGGGTAAATTTCAGAAGAAAATCATCTGAAATTTTGTGATCAGTTACTTCCACGTCTTGAACAGTATTGTTCGCAGACAGAACCAAATCTATCACATGACCGGATCTGTCCGTGGTTGATGTGACATGCTGATCATATCCATGAACGTAAAGGAGTTCTAATACGTTCTTGGTCAATGAGTTTTCGGCGTTGTCATAGTGAATATTGAAGTCACCTAATATGACTGTATGATCTCCTGTCCTGTCGAGGATGCTGAGCAGATCGGCAAATTCCGTGCAGAAATCTGAGTCTGATACTTTTATTACCACGTGATGGAGGTGGTCTGTAAATGCATACAACCTTAAGTGATTTCTGATGTGAGGAGAAAATACATGTCATTAGTTCAAATGATGAAAAAGATTGTTAATGAACTAGATTCACTTGCAAGCCGTCTTTAAACAAAATGGCTAAACCACCACCTCGTTTAATTGGGCGGGGAGCATTTGATTTTGTATCCTTTTGGTGTCATTTCCTTTATTTTCGACTCATCTCCAGAATGGCACAACCAGGTCTCAATCACCGTCCTGGCTTGCGGTTCGATGTGAATAGCCCTCTTTGAGAAATCCACAGAGTGGATATCAATTTCACATATCACAATTGCAAAATGCCACAAAGTCAACATTCTGAATGAAATTTCACAATTTTCATCATAACGTCTGGTTTTAGGAATCCCAATGCAGTTGTGTATCCAAAATACAGGTTGAAAATAATTGAATAAACCAGTGAAAACTCAAAATTTCTGAGAGGATGTGGGGATGTAATGTCCTTGGTCTCTGTTTATGGCCGGTCGGAGCCTCTTGGTGTCAATCACGTATGGTGCCCTGTGCAATTGTCGAATTGTGAAACCGAAGCGTTGTCTTGAAAAAGTAGAACATTACGTGTTAACATTTCACAAATCTTTTAGTAAATTAAATTAGCTTTCTACTGTACATGTATTTGTAATTTTCGGTGGCAAATAATCAATCAGTAATATGCCTCTTGCAACCCCAAATTTGGTGAACATTACCTTGCCAGTCGATGGTTGAGTGCGTAACTTTAGAGGCGGAGAAATGGCATGCTTTCATTGCATGGATACCAATTTAGTTTCTGGGCCCCAGTCCAGTGGTGGATCCATGTCTCATCACCTGTCACTAGACGAGAACGAAATCCGGCTTCATCAGCAGTATAGAGATCCAGGAGCTATCGACAACTGTCAGCTCTCTGATGGCGAACTTGAGCTTGGAGGTTTCTAGATACCCATCTTGCAGATACCTTGGACATACGAAGATGCTATTGAATAATGGTTTGAACAGTTCCACCTGATATTTGAATTCCCTAGAAAGTTCAGGCATATTTATTCGTCAGTCAGACAATTATTTCCTTTCAATAGCGGCTATAGTTACCGATTGGGTGGCATCTGAAGGCCTACGTGACCTTGGGTCATCGTCTATGGACTCCGTGCCCATTTTAAACTGTAGAGACCAACGGCAAACTATGGAATGGTCAGGATCATCTTTACCCATCACTTTACACATGCGATCATGTATTTCTTCTGCCTTTTTCCCTCCTTGGTAAGGAACTTTATACAGCTTATTGTTCATGTTTAAGAGAATCCACAATTGTGACCACCTTTAGGTGAATGAAGCTATCATATCTAATTTTTTGTTGCGTCTGAAACACGCGCTGGTGCTATGACTAGTGTCACACCTGCCAAAAGTCGACATTGTTTGTGTAAACACAAATGCCCAAGTTGCAAAACTTATTAAACGCCCCTCGTAGCCTTGCCTGCAGTATTGTGCATCAGTCGCTTGATAACAGGGTTAGTAGATACACTGAAACGTCGCTCATATTAATATATAGTTGTATATCCACAGAACTCTCCTCGTTGTTTATCACCAACTTCTAAATGCCACTCAAAGAAAAAACATGTAACACTATACTGTCACGTATCTGATGCAGATCTGTCCTTTTGTCATTAGATGTATTATATCTACCATTTTCATGCAGGCATGTCTGTGTCTGTCTCATTTAATGCTTCTATGTATGCCGGTTTTACAATACTACGACCAGTCTGTTGGTATTTGGGTTATCACTTTGGATTCTAGATGTGCACTGCCATCCACGATTGCTCAAAGACCTCACAACTAACTTCTCTAAAGTCATTGGGAAAAAGGAAGGTGTGATCGTGAAAGAGTAAGTATCTTGTTGACATGTCAACTGTACTATATGTTCGACAAAATGCGAAGGAATAGATATGTTTGCCCTCGATTATCACATTTTCAAGCACAAATGCTTTTAATATTTTAAGCCTTTGTATTTACGATTTTCTTGTACATGTTTCTTTCTTAATGTGAACACCTGTACAAACGATTAAAACATCCAATTTCATCTTAAAATTTTGTACGCTATTCCATCCCCGTTGTTAAACTCTAAGTACTTGTTGCAGAACATGGACTTGGCAGTTTATAATGTTAACTTGGTGCTGTGCGATCTTGTATTTTTCTCGTTCAAAAACATAAATCTGTTGCAATATTTTTCAGCTACTTTGGAGCTTACACCATGGACGTGATTTCACGGACTGCCTTTGGTATCAAAGTCGATTCTCAGAACGATTTGAACAATGCATTTGTCACTAATGCTAAGATTATGTTTACAAAGTCAAATCCAGGAAGACTACTCGCAATACTAGCACGTAAGTTACATACTTCTTACAGAAATTTCTTTTCATTCAATGACCTTGCTTAAAAATTCTCTTGTTTGAATTTTGGGCAGTGGGCG